GTTTCTCAAAATGTGCTGTTTCTTCTTTTATCATATTTTCAGGATCTTTAGAGTTGATCATATGAGCGCGAAGAATTCATAGTCTAAATTTCGAATATTATAAAAGGCTACTTTTCATATTGATAAGAAGTCGGCTATCACGTTCGGTCACGGTTATTTTTATCTTTTGCTATCATCCCTGGCCGACCGGCCTCTTTGGCTTATCGTTTTCAGGAGCATCGGTTGCCATCGGACTAACAGTAATCAAATAATGTTACAAGAAATTCATCTAGATCAGGGCAATCGAACGACCCGTACTTCAAATTGATTAATAATTCGCCAGTCAAAGTCTATAAAACAAGTCAACTAGGAAAATAAATATACACTAGACGAGACAGATGGACGTTAGACGCGAAAAATAGACGACAGATACGAAGTGAGTTGCAGATTCACTTTTTAAGAAGTTACAAATTGAAATCAAAAATTAACCACGGGAAACATCCCATTTCAAAGCGTCTGTATGAAATTTAGTTTCAATGCAGATAACGCCAGAGTACTTTGCGAATAATTTTTTGTTCACACAAACACGAATCATATGCTCTTACGTAACATCGATGATCAATAATTCCTTTTTTAAAAATCTGTTTCACAGCGACAAATCCGTGATTTGAACGGGAAATTCGGTCGTATACCTTCCTGTTCTCCTGTTTCTCGTTTTGAATTTTTTTTTTCTGTACAATTTGCTTAATTTGACGAAAATAATGTGTCTCTAATGTGTTAATAGTGCATCCATTTCAATATTACAATTTAATTGTACGCTCATGTAACGAGTTAATCGTTTGCAGACTAACAATAAGTTCAGACCCTTATCGTAATTATCGAATCAGTCGGGTGCATTCCAGAAAATTGGCATCGAAAGAAAGAGTAATGATTGATCATCAGCTGTTTTACCATTATCAGATGTTTCTCGGAACACGATAGCGTAGATTGGGAATAATCCAAGTTCCAATAATTGGAGCTCAATCATATGTCTCCACGTCATAGAGATTATTTTGATATTTTTACAATTTGTGATATGTTTATCAATCGCCGATGTCGCTTGCCTAGCAACATTCGATTTGCAACATTCGATCGAGTCGTATTCAACGTGTGTGAAAACTGAATTTTGCTACTTCTAATTTAAGGACTGTTGAGAAGTATACAAAATGGAACGTATCGTTTATTTGGCTAGAACGTTATGGACAGGACCATTCGCCGATGTTTTAAAATTGTCATACATAGTGTAATCATGTTGTGCATCTTATCTGTCTTTATAACAAATTCGTTCGTACTCGTTCGTACTCGGCAAAGAACAATTTCACGTTATTCTTCGCACGGAGAATATTATGAAGGAATTTTTGAAATTTCTACTGCTGTGTAAGTCATTTTTGGCATACGAATGTGGGATCTTGCATTGAGAGTATCCTGACAACCGAGGCATCGAAAAGCAGATATTCAACATCATATTCTTCGATTGCGTTACAACGTATCGGCATCACTTGATCCAAGCGTGATAGATTTGTGCTGAGCAAAGGTCACGCAGCACCGATTCTTTACGCAGCATCGGCAGAAGAAGGACTTTCCCCCTGCGACTGAATTGTTAAATTTAAGGAAAATTGACAGCGATTTAGAAGGACATCCCACTCCAAGGCTTAATTTTGTCGATGTGAGAACTTCAGAGTTCCTTCGGGCAAGGCGTTTCAGTTTCTGCTGGAATTGCTTACGTAGGAATATACTTTGATAAGGCCAATTATCGCGTGTACTATCTTATCGGTGTTCGAGAAGCAGCTGAAGGCTCAATATGAGAAACATTTCACTTTGCTTCTTATTACAAGCTAGATTATCTGTGCACTATTTATTAATCGTTCGGGACAAAGTGAACCGACATCTCTTCGGCACAATATGGAAGTCTACGGCAAAAGATAATGATACCGACTGTGTGTGTCGTTCAAGATTTATATTGTATTGTATTTATATCAATATCTAATTCAAGTGTTTGCAAATGGACTGCAACTAGCTAACGGATCGATAGTGATCAGGTTAAACAGCGTGCGATTTGACCTTAGGAGGGTAACCATTTTCATACCAAGCTGATTCAAACGTTTTGGTTAGAGGTCGCCGCTATCAGCTCCACTGGTAAGTCTCCACAGACGAGATATATGAACAAACATTGCATGTAATTATATACAACATATTCTTTTAGCCACTTTATTACTATTTTCGTGTCACATTCGTATAGTATTGTTTCAGGTAGATTGTGCACCACAGCACTAGTGGTGAAAATTAAAGTTAAAAAATATGAACGGTGTTGCCAGATCTGTTTCGAGAATTATTCATTGACTCGAACGTGATGGTACTTCATTAATAAAGGAATATAACGATTTGAAACAGCGATTGATAAAAATTGAAATGAAAAATTTTATATATTTTTGACCATTAACATCTGTCAGAAAAAATTAATTGAAATGTGATATTTTTATGAACAACATAATTAGATATAATGTTGTTTTATTTACAAACATGTAAATTCACAACCTGAATGAATTACTTTTATCTCGCAAACTTTTATAAAAGATTGGATTTATGAAAAATGTATTTCTATAAATATTGTTTTAATAATAAAATTTGTTTCCTCAACAAATAATGCCCAACATATTCGTTAGAGGGAAAAACTGTTCAAAATACTACATGAATAGATAATTATATTTCACTAGATATTATTACATAGTTTTCAACATTTGGTTTTAATATACAGTATAATTTTACAATGTTTTCTATGTCCCACGCGTTTTATGAATGAAGTATTGCAAAACAAGGAAAAACATCTGAAAGATATCAATGAATGTGATGAGGACACGAGTTCGTATATAAAATTTACAGTTTCTTTTTACTTTCAAAAAAATTCTCTCCAAACTTATATATTTCGTATATCTTGCTTTGTGGAATTTTTATAAAAAGAAATGCGCTTAGGAACGTTTTTGAATAATGTCCTCATGAAGCAGATATTTTGAAGTCAATTTTAACAAAAGTTCTATGGAAACGAATAATATTTAATCAAAAATCTATTTTTATATTTGAATAGTCGTTGAATAGTATTCAAATATCGAAGACTTTCCTAATATTGAAACAAATCATCTGTTTCTTCGAGAGAAAAATTTTCACTTTTATATTTTTTTCGTAAGTTCTACTCTCTGTCTGAAATTTTTCTTTTAAAGAACATTCATTTCTTTCAAATCCACAATTTTTTCAAACAATCTTATCTGTCTAACAAACGTGCAAATAGAGCAGAAAAGACAAATCAAATGAAGCACAGAAAATCCACTGTGGTAATGAATATAGATGCCAATCTATGTGTTTATTAAACTAAACCAGATGGTATCAGTGTAGAAATATCAATGGTTGTTTTCATAACATGATGAAAAGCAGTGTCGCTGAATTCCATTAATTTCATCATGGTAAATATCCCATAAACCAAAAACTTCTTACAGGATTGTGTGTAGAAGATATCTGTAAAAAAATGTAATTACTTGTATTATAAATTAATTTCTTTGAAATATTATTACATGTATACTTTGGTGTATTTAGTGTGTAAGCTAATACAGATTTGTTTTCTAATATTGTTTGCTTCTAAGCAGAATATGTGGAAGAAATTCTTGCCTTTTTAATGGCGATTATTGCCGTGAAAAATTGATTCATTGTTTCGAAATGATCTATCGATTGTACGAATGTACAA